CGCCTTTTTACAACAGCTCCGGTGTCCTACACTGCGGGGGTTGGATGGGTCAATGTTGGCTGGGATCGCTGCTCACTGACATGGCAGAAAAGCCGGTCTGCCCCACAGGAGGGGGGCTGAATGGAAGCGCTGGGTGTCACGTTCTGGGGTTTGATCCAAAGCCACCTGCCCTGTAACCCTGGTGCCTTGAAATGCTCGGCTGCTGCAGCTCCCTGTCTGGACATTCCCGGCCAGCAGACAAACATTTACTGAGTGTCTGCGATCAACAGCCCTGGTTTAGCAACACCAACTCCAGCAGCCTGCTTGGTACCTCCCAGGCCCTGGTCCCCAGCAGCCTCGGTTACTGCTAGCCAAGGAACCCCAACATCCCCTCGGCCTGAATGTCCCTCAAACTGTCTGCCCTGAAATGTCCAGCCCTCTCCTGCAGCATCCAGGGAAATAATAAGGTTCTCTGCTCCCTTTAAGAGACAATCCCCAGCTGCTCCCCACATTAACTGGAGTTACCAGTGCCTTGAATTCAAACCAGCCCTCGGTTGGTTTAGATTGAAATAAACCAAGTTTATTAACAAGAGGCCATGGGTTAAGCGATGCCAAGTGAAAATAAACCAAGTTAGGGATGGTTACAAGTAAATCAAAGTGAAAACACACAGCTGAAAGGCTCAAACTCAAGGCAGCAAGGCACAGTCTGTGTTGAAGGTGATTTCGCTTTCCGGTTACTCTTGGTCTGGCCTGGGCAACAGGCTCTCGATCCTGACCTTCCTGGGAAGTGCGAGGTGCTGGTTTCCCTCGTTGTCGTGGGGGGAAGAGAATTTGGGGGTTCACTGCCCCTCTCTCTATACTCCAGGAGAGCATGTCTCTCTGTGTTCATTGACACTGCTTCAGGAAGGAAGGTCTCCTGGGGGTGCCTTCTCCCGCCCTGTCGATAGCTGAGTCGTCACCTCCTCTCCTTGGTGGCTCGATGGCTTTGTTTAACACCCATGTACATCCTAATTCTCTTGTCACTTGT